GAATATACTCGATGCATCGAATATACTCGATGCATCGAATATACTCGATGTATCGAATATACTCGATGTGTCGAATATACTCAGTGTATCAAATATACTCAGTGTATCGAATATACTCGATGTACCGAATATACTCGATGTATCGAATATACTCGATGTACCGAATATACTCGATGTATAGAATATACTCGGTGTACCGAATGTACTCGATGTATTGAATATACTCAATGTATCGAATATACTCAATGTATCGAATATACTCGATGTATCACGAGTTTTCCAATTTACGATGGTTAAAATGACTATTGCAACCATCAAGTATTATTAGACTTGAAAATCCATGTAGTTCTTTTTCTCCCATCTGTACCAACTTCACGCGGTCCCTCCTGCTCCCTCGCTGAATACAAACAGCCCCTCACGTGTTGTTTCACACACGCTTACTAACGTGGTGAAAGCATTATTCAATATATGTAAATAGTTTATTTTTTAGACGTTTATTTTGTAGAGTTACAGCTGTTTGTTAATAAATGTGCCTGTGTGATAATTGGGACAAAGCTTTGACTCAGAAATATATTTTTATTATTACTTTATGGAAAGAAAAAACATGGATATCGTATATCGCGATTTATCTTAAAAAATATTGAAATATAAATTTTGGTCCTTATTGCCCAGCCATAGTGTGGATAACTAAAGTGAGGCCGGCTCCATAATAAGCAGTTCGCTTGTAGCAACATTATTTAGCGTAAACGCCATCTTCATTATAGGAAGTGCTGAATGAGTTCATTTCTTTTGATAATTACAGTCAGCGAGCTCATTCACTTTGTGTTTTTACAGGTTCCAAACGAGACAGCAAGCACGACAATCGCCTGTACATCAACCTGACCCCCCACCGACAGGAGGAGGTGGAGCGCCTCCTGCAGGAAGGAAGCGGCCGGGGATGGAGGCACCTGGGAGCAGCGCTGGGCTACGAGCCCGAACAGCTGGACCTGTTCGGGCGCGGCGAGGCTCCGGCGCATACGCTTCTCTCTAACTGGGCCCAGAAAGAGGGCTCCACTCTGGGACTGCTGTTCTCTGCACTGGCTCGTATCGAGAGACCCGACGTGGTCACAGCTCTTAACTGCACCTCGCAGGGGGCTTCTGTCGTCTGACAACCTGTCGTCTCGTCACCTTGAAATGGGATGAACTCTTGATTACAAACCTTCTGCCACTGGAAGCTACCTTCAATGTTTACCTTTACTCACGTAACTCCGTTTTCTCTTCAATGCTCTAAAACCTCACGTGATTTCCCTGAACGAAAGAATAACCTGCAGAGACGCAACAGATTACGGTAAATAATCTGTTAGTGAAAGGAGATTAACTGAATAGAAACCAGCGGCTGAAGGGAGGACCCAGTCATCCTGAAAAATGTTGCTTACAATAACTCTAAAGATTCATGTCATTATTCAGCTTATAGAGGTTAAATGTGCTTATCCATATTGCAGAAGTATTAAAAACAAACATTTTTCAGCTAAAATTCTATTTCCTACCCCCGTCTAAAGAAATATTCCTCCCCCGTCACTCAAAATGTTTGGACTCTGCTAAGCTTTATTTCAACAAATTAGTTTTTGAACAACCAATTTTTGCTCTGCAGCTGATTTCAACAGAACATACATGATAAGGGCTGAAGTACTGGGCCACACCATCACACCAACAGGAACTGTACTCTGCAACAGCTTCCACTTTTTTTTAGGAGGGCTTTCCACAGAATGTTTTTTCCATCCCCATTCATTCTGGAGAGCATTGGTCCCCGCATCTGTGCTTGGGACCTGACTGGGTCATGGAACAAGAAAGGTGGTTTCCTGAGATGATTTCCTGAGATGATTTTAAGACATTAAACAATTGCAAATTGTATGATTTTTGGCATAAATGCTGCAAAAAAAAAAGAAAACAGTCATCTTAAATTGGTAAAAAATAGTTATAATGGTCATTTTTGTTGCTGTGATACTGAAGTTTAATGGCTTTTAAGTATCAGAGTCAGTCAGAGAGTCAGAGTTTCTTTATTGTCATTCGCACCTCATGTGGTACATGTGGTGGAGCGAAATTATGTACACAGGGTCCCAGTTACATCCAACAATAAAATGTATAAGAAAAACAGTAATAACATCTAAGATATGAAGAAAAACATCAACTAAATATACACTAAGCACTCATAACATAAAAACATTGAACATCAGCACAAACATGAACATGAGTCTGTGAGCGGATGTGCACGCATGAACACATCAACATTGAAACAGATCAGCAGCAACATGAAACATCAGCAGCAACATGAAACAGATCAGCAGCAACATGATATGGTTTTTCACAGTGATTATTCTAGTTAGAGATTCATGAGTCTAACAGCCTCAGGGTAGAAGCTGTTCCTCAGTCTAGTGGTTCTACACTTAATGCTCCTCAACCTCCCTCCTGAGGGGAGTGGGGCAAAAAGTGTGTGTGCTGGGTGAGTGGGGTCCTTCATGATGCAGGTGGCCCTCTTCCTGCATCTGGAGGTGTAGATGTTTGTGATGGTGGGGAGGCTGATTCCGACAGATTTCTGTGCAGCCTTCACCACTCTCTGCAAAGCTTCTCTCCCTGCAGCTGTGCAGCCTCCATGCCACACGTTGATGCATGGAACTGCAACTGTTGCTGTGGAGAATTCATGAAGTCAGGCACCGACATTGGATGAGACAGTCTCCGTTCCAGTTGGTCCCAAAGGTGCTGGACAGGGCTGAATTCAGGACTCTGTGAGACATTCAAGTTCTTCCATCTAACCAGGTCTTTATGGTGGCTGCTTTGTGCACGGGGGTCACAGTCATGTCAGAATAGAAAACGGCCTTCCTTAAAGTGCCGCCACCATGTTAAAATCATAACATTGCCCAAATTGTCTTGGTATGCTGTAGCCATAGGTGTCACATCAATTATATGTGAATGGGATGTGTCTCCACCCCCCCCCCCCCCACACACACACACACACACTCCCCACCTTTAAAAAAATATTAACTTGGACCCCGCCACACACACATTTACCATGATATAAATATTAGTTCACCCAGTGCTGTTTTTATTTCTTTGTGAACAAATCCAATTCACTTGATTAATAGGAGAATACTCAAACCACTCCGGTTTGATACCAAAAGTCCACTCCGAGTTTTTCTGGTTACCTACAACTCACCACGCCACATGCAGTGTTTCCTCGAGCTCACTTGGCTTGGTAGGACGCTCGTCTCTTTGGGGGGTTTTGTCGACGGTGCGAGGGGGGAGGAAGGGGTGACAACTTTGTGTTTCATGTTAACTTTGTGCTACGTTAGTGCCGGCAGCTGTTGACCGGGATGGGATAGGGGGTTAGGATGCGTAAGAGAAGCGGAGCGCTATTTCTGTAGCATCTTAGCTAGCGCATCTATTGTGCTACATTAGGGCTGGCAGTTATGGATGGTGGTGGTGGGGGGGGGGGGGTTTGGATGCTTGAGAGAAGCAGATCGTGCTCTATTCACACAAGGAGAGCTGTTGGTCAGGCTACTTCTTGTTGTGCCTTGCTCTCTAAAATAATTATTGAATCAAGTGTTTACTTATGTAGGTAAACGTAGCTGTTTAACATCCTGTTAAAATACACCAGAATGCAGGAAATGGCATCTACTTTTTTCAGAATTCTCTGGGGGAGGACCCTCAGATCCCCCAACCAATGTGTTAACACCCACCCCCCCCCCCCCCAAAAAAATGCTTCTGATGCCAATGGCTGTAGTGTTAAGATTGCCCATCAGTGGAGGTAGGAGGCCCAGCCCAAAATGTTGACTGAAATACTCTGACTCAACAGGTGGAGTCAAAACTCTTGTCCATGTAGCTTCTAATCCAACACGAGGCTTTCGTTGTTTGGGACTGTATCTGTGCAGGCTCAGAGAAAAAAAACAAAACCTAAATAAAGTGAGAGAAAGATTTGCATGCTTTGTTAACTTGCTTTTTTGAATCCGTCCCAGTTCCACTCCATGTTTCTGTAGATTTCAATGAACCACACGTAAAGATTATGAACTGTGCCTTAAGACTGGTTTAAAAATTATTCTGTGTTTTTCTTTTTTTCTATTCTTGATGGCTGTGGATTTTATTTACACTGACAATATATTATTGATCCATCATAGTGCAAGCAAAAACACAAAAAGTTTACAAAATTCAATTAAACACGAACACGAAAATGTTTTTGTTTATTAGCCCTCACGTTATTATTTGACTGTAAATATATATTTTTTATTTGTTTTGATAAGTCGTGCCTTATAGGGAAAATGTGTGTCCAACTTTACTGTCATACTTTTGTATTTATTTTATCACTGTTCTGAGTAAATAAAACTTGTGAAAATCAGAAGCATTTTGTTAGAACTAATTATTTTTGAGTCTTGTCTTCAGTTTTACCACATTTTATTAGGAGATATTTGTTACTTTTTTTTTTTCACCGCATCCAACTTCGAAAAAAGATTAGAGCCACAGTGGAATTTACCCCCAAAACATTTGATTGATTTTTTTTTCTAAATTTTGACCTAAATTTCGTTCATTCTAAGAAGAAAAAAAAAATCAGAATTCTTAAAATTGATGTCAGAATTTTGACTCATCTTTTCCCCACTGTGGCATTAATCATCTTCCGTATATACCACCTTTAATTAATACCGGTAGTTACTTTTCAGTATTTTTGCACAAAAATGTACTTGTCCCTGTGCCAGAATTGTTACATCCCCTCATTTTTAAACATAATTTTTGTGTGACATTTTTAACCAATTGTGCATTAATAATGGATAGTAATTAATTATTACATCAAAGGGGTTCACCAGCTTCACTGTGACTGTAAAATCAACGTTGTGATCATTAGGAGAAAATGATGCAACACATTTCTGCTCAGACTGATGTTCTGTGATTGACCCGGCTCATTATAATTTACAGCAGGCGTGGGCAACATTTTTTTTCCAGAGGACAAAATCAAGATATTGAAAGCAATCAAAGGGCCTCATAGAGAATTAGAAAATACAGTTTTGTTAAACATATATCCCAGGAGACTTTTTTCAGCCATTTCTTGTAGCTTAGCATGCTTGATAAAAATGTGTCTCCCCAAAAATCTTTAAGATGTAAAAGACTCCGTAAACTTTTATCTTCTTAAATTATCTTTGTTAGCTTAAATATGCAAAACAAAAATTTTAATTAAATCTTAAAAAGCAAATTGACTAAAAAGGTTTTAGCCAAAAGGGTTTTGATGCATTTGTCCCAAGTTTCCTTGAATTTCATTGATAAAATGCAGGTTTTCATCAACTTATTTAAAAGTTGCTTTCTTTTCAATTAACAATATTAGGGGCCGGATAGAGTGTTCAGGGGCCACTTTTGGCCCTTGGGCCATATGTTGCCCACGTTTGACTTACAGTAACCACGGCGGGTCCAATCAGCTCTAAAAACAACCAGAACAAACACTGAACAGAAGAGAACCTCACCGCACCGCGTCCCGCTGATTCAAAAAATCCCAACAAAGTTCACATTTTTTGAGAACTGGTTTTGATCATTTATCTCAACACCAGTTTTCAAATGTGATTTGAATGAAGCCATTTACCGCTTACATTGAGGGCATTCACACATCTGTTCAGATGCATTTGGACCACTCAGGCCAGACGTTAACAGAATGTTATTAAAGTCTAATACTCCGGCCTATCCATCGGTTTTCTGCTCGTTCCTGGGTCACAGAGAGCTGATGCTGGTCTCCAGCAGTCTGATGGGTCTGGCCAGTAATCTCAGGGTCACTGAGACTAACAAGACAGCCAACCATTCCTGTCATCACACAGGGACAGTTGTGAATCACACTGGGCTTGGTTGTAAGTTATTTGTTGTATAGTTTGCATGACTTCAATACATTTCTACAGCTTTTTAGTTGGAGCAGCTTTTAACACTAAAAGCAAAACAACTTCGTAATTACATTTCTGACACAAGACAATTTAAGTGTAAAACTCACTTAATGAATGAAAGGCCGTTTGGACGTAGGTGGAATGTAATGTTTTATCAAAGGATTTACGGTGTAACGTTTCCTGTCTGAAACCCTGAGAGGATTTTCTTCTAGGGGATGTTTAATTATTTGAGTGAAATCAAAACAGCTCCACTCAAATTTTCCTCTTTCTCACAGAGAAGTCTTGATTCCTGCCCCCTCCCCTCCAGTTTCTGCACAGATCTGTTAATGATCTCTCAGCTCTAATGAGGAGCAGGCATCGCGAGCACGGCCCCGAGGCGGCGTTAACATGCCGTCACTCTCTCCAGAAGGGACTGCTTTACTGCGGTCTGGAGCGCTCTGGCATGGGGCGGGTGGAATGTGTGGAAACGGGAGGGGGAGGGGGGGGGGCGCAGCAGAGCCTCTACTCGTCACAGCTCCAACATCTGGCTCAGAGTGGCATTCATGCCATGTGCGTCGCAGGCGGGAGCCAACGTAACGACTAACGTGCACATGGCCGTTAATCACGCAGTCACATTTGTCTGAAAAAAAATAAAAAACTGGCAAGTTTTACAAAAAGAGTTTATTTTAAAATGTTTGTACACTCGGTATGACAATGTGCTTACACAATACTTACAGTAAAATTGGGTGAAACTTACTTTGTACATAGAAAAATAATTAAAAAAAAACACCAATAACAGAGAAAAACTTGTATTTTTCCCTGGGCGGTGGAGTAAAACAATCAGACTGCGAGTTTGAAGACTGATGTGGGAACAAGCTGCTGAGGATGGGCGAGGCTCACTGAACATGTAAACCCTTATCCTGCAGCTTTTTTTTTTTTTACACAATATTTACACTGATGAGTCCTTTTACAAATTATTTAGACATTCCCCAAAACTATTATTCACTATATTCACATATAAAGCAATATGCATATGTTGGAACTTTGTTTAATGCAACGTTACGGGCTGTGAGGAACTGACGAGCTAATGCTAAATCAACTTCACCGTAAAAACCTTCGAGATGCGAGGTCGACCAACCCGCGAGTCTCTAAGGTGAGAACTAACTGTAGTATTAAAAAAGACCAAGAACACACTATTTTATTTTAATTTAGCAACAGTTAAAACTGCAATGCTACAACCATCACTTTTAGCATTACTGGTGGGGCGAAACAAGTTGGGAGAGGGGTCGGATTATGGAAATTAAAACAGTTACACAGCACATCAGTGATTTTTAAACCCTGCTTCTCGATATTAAATTGTTAAAAGAGCAAGAAACTATTGACCTCTAACCCTTTTTCCAACTGGCTTATCCCTTGTTGATCCCTCAGTTTATTGTCAGTAAAAGTTCATCCCAGTGGGGGGTGCGCTACTTACTACGAGGAAAGGTGCAAGAACACCACTCGGACCTCAGCACACACCACGCATTCAGAAAACAGACACTCCGGAGTCTTATGGTTGAAAAATAAAAAGCTAATTTGGAGAGTGGAAGCTTGGACCTCCTGCAGCCCAGTTAACAGCAGCACCAAATATTTAGTCCGGGGGGGAGGGAGATAAATGAGCATGAGAACAGGACTGTTTCATCATTGATCCATTTTGAAAAAGTGAAAAATCAACATTTAACAAATCTAAGAAAAAAAAAAAAGCTGAATCGTGTTTAATAATTCTCATTCGGGGTGACAAAGAGTTAAAAACTGGAATAGAGGTGATCATCTCAGGAAGTTTAAAGAGTAAAAAAAAACGAGATTAAAACCATGAGACGGTGTGTGAACACGATAGTCTCTGTAGCACCACACAGTGTCATTCTTCACCAACACTGCACCTAACGTAGAGTCCTGGGCCTCCTGTGAGATCTGTGAGGCCTGGAGAGGTTCTCAGGGCAGCAGTGCAAATCTGGGGCACAAATACACCCCCCCCCCAAAAAAAACTCTTCAGTGGTCAGGCTGGCCAGAGCGGACATGAAGAAGTGAATGGAAAGGCAGGCGCGTGCTTCTTTCCGGTGAGTCCACATCAGTGTCTCAAACAGGTCAGTAAAAGTCCGTGTCCTCTTTGGGCCGGTACACGGAGCCGAACCTCTGCATGTACTTCTTGATGTACTCCTTGGTCTTGTGCTTCACGTTCTCGTTGCACTCGAGGTCCTCGGGGTTCTTGCAAGCCTTCAGCTCCTTGTTCATGACTCCGTGAGTGAGCTGCAGCGCAGAGCGGAGATAATGAGAGAACGTTTCTGGTCACCCGACTGCAGCAAGTTACACAACTAAAACATATCCAAGTGGTTGGATCGTTAATCTCTTGTAGTGAGCCTCCCTTTTTAATCTGGGACAATAAAATGTGGGCTATAGATGAGGGAAGCCAATCTTGGCAGTCCTCATAGTTCTGGTATTTGTGACAAAACTCCATATATAAACCCATGTACAGTAGTCCCTCGATTATTGCGGGGGTTACGTTCCTAACACCCCCACGATAGGTGAAAACTGCAAAGTAGCAACACCATTTTTATTTTAGTATTTATATATTTTTTAAGGTTTAATAAACCCTTCCCACACTATTGCAATGTTCTAAAGTCTTAAACCTACGTCATTTTAACAACATACGTATATGTACTGTACAGTACTACAAAATTTTACTGACCAGCTCTGCAGAACAGCAGCTCGGTTCCGGTCCGACTCGGTTCCTGTTCTGCAGAGCTACCTTCCAATGATGAAGCCAGTCCAGTTTGAGGTGTGTGTGGATAATTAAGCTTCAGGATTATTTGTGACTTTCCTGCCAGTTCTGTGATCTTAATAGATAGCGTAGATTTGTGTTGGAAAACAATTAAAAGTTGCATTCAGGTCCAAAAATACAAAATGGCGGCGCCTGTCCAAAGTATTTTTTTCATTAACTTTCCTTCCCAATCACGTAATATTAAAGTTGACAATCGTTGAAAAAACGCAAAAGAACGAGGTTGCGAAAGTTGAACCCAAAGTAGCAAGGGACTACTGTACCCACCATCAAACAGCAGAAGAATGCAGATCTATAACAGACATTTAGAAGAACAAAAAGTGTTCAAAGCTAAATAGACGGAGATAAAAGTTTATATGCAGGGTGTTACTCCTGAGGCAGAAAGAAAAACATGAGGGGTCAAAGGTGGGAGATTTACCTGAGGCTGATGAAAAGTTAAAAGCCTCTCAGGATTGTATGGAAATACTAACTGCACGTACAAACATTATTTTTCTCTTACCTTCCTAGCCAGGTGTTTAAAATCTTCCGTGTTGCTGATGCGTCCAGATTTGCAGTCTGGCTTCCGATAAGGATTCAGACAGTGCACAATGAACTGGGACATCTAATAAAAAAAAAAAAACACAATGGAAAAACAAGAAGGCAAAATTAAATTAGGAGTTAAAAGTAAACAATCGTGCGGACAATATTTAGAAAGAGTTGGTCTCACCTCTTTCCTAAATGTTTCTTTACTTTTCTTAGCCAGTTCACTGGAAGTGTCTGCTTCAGCTGTTTTTGTGGAGAACTGAAACATAATCAGAAAGTAGAAGGATATAGCCACAAAACTTGGCATATGCTTCGCATCGGAAAATGGGCTTTCACTTTTAAATAAACTAATTCAGTTCTACTCTATTGTCACTTCATCACAGAGCAGCTACGTCAAGCTGTAGGTATTTTCTCTTCTGCGTTCAGCTCAGCTGAGCAGAGAAGCGAGCCGAACAACAGGCGTTACCAAGGTCAAGGGGGCCCTCAAACAGCACCTGCTCACAGATACTTGACACAAAGCAGAAATATCCTGTCGGGATGCTACGTCTCCGGCTCTGGCTTTCAACAACAAAGGCAAACAGGCAACAGCTTATCAACAAAAAAAACTTAAGTTGAAAATCTAAAAACAACTGGCAAATATCCTAAATCAAAGCTACCGGTATATATATTTTGTAAATATAGAACATGTCAAATAAAGTTCTATGGACAGATTATGATCAATAAATATCGTACCTGTTTTAGATAAGTGAACGACCACAGCTTGGAGAAATATTAGACTTTTATTCTGATTGGACTGATGGGCTTGGCTATTGTTGCCATCTCAAAACAACTCAAGAATAAAAAACTTCAGAGTAGGGATGCACAATATTGGATTTTTGGCCAATATCAGATATGTTAAAACTTATTTGGCTGATAACCGATACCAGTACTGATATTTTTTTCCCCTAGACCTACTTACAGAGAATACATAGCATTCTCTGCAGTGGAATTAAAATACATTATTCTGCAGGGTCTTTGTCAGTTTGGCTGCTACCAAATGCAGATGCCAAAAAGGGGCTGAAAATGATGTAACACTTCAACTTGGATTATGTTTAATGTCAGATTTATTCATGACATTTACTCTTCTCTAATACAATGACAACACTCAGTGCAAATTTGTAAATTTTCACAAATCTAAACTCGACCTGTTCACAAGCGACAAGTGAAAAGTGCATAAGTAACAGTGCTTTAATAGATACACTTGACAGTTTCTTAAATTTAAAATTAACTTAAAACAGAAGCCTTTTATATTGGTGAGTCTTTTTTTAATGTAATGGCCAATGTCCGATATATAACTATCACTAATATTGTCCGATACCGATACCATGCCGATAATATCGTGCATCATTACTTCAGAGTGATTTGTTTACCTTTAGCTTAAAAAACCTTTACATTAGCTCGTCCATCCATACAGCATTACATTTTATTTCTCCAAACTGAGGCCTTTCAAAGAGATATTGTGTGAAAACTTTCATTCACAGTTTTTAGCTTTAGTTCTGCTACTTTTTCCAAATTTTTTTGTTGTTGTTGTTCCTTTTTGTTTTAATAGCACAATTTCAGCTTCTTCAGCCAAGTTCAGCCCTCAACAATCGCAATGCATTTTTGCAGAAAACTCAGTTTCTCAACTTGTTCATAACTTTTCTACTTCAAAAGGTCGGATTAGTCGCTTCAGGTCTCTGATGTGCAGAGCAGCACCAAAGAAACTGATGAAATGTGAAGTGGTGCATACATTTACTCGGAGCATAACATTCTATGAAGTCCAGAAGTGTTTTTTCACATTAAAATGTTTTTCTTAGACACATATGCTTTCAGATGAGACAAAAGGACAAGCAGTCAACATGCGTAATTAAAACTATAAAACAAAAAACCGCAAAGTAATGAATGCTAGTCCTTTCAGATGGTTTTCAATATTTCCAAAGACAAAGGACAATAAGATGAGGCAGCAGAAGAGGAGATAAGCTCAGCACTTCCTGTCTCTCCCTTAACGGCCTTCGGGGTACGACTGAGTGGGCACTTCCATGAAACCACTGTGAAGCTTATTCATCAGTGAGTTTATAACGCTCGTCTGATGTAGAGCAGAGGAATTTTCTTCTACTCCCCCCCCCCCCTTCTTGAGAACAGCTGAAAGTAATTATTGGTGCTGCATCTTCAATTACCTCGGGGAACAAACACTATAATCATGCTCGGCATTCGAGCACAAATTTTCTGGGAACCAAACGGAAAAGTAAAGTCGACTCCTCGTCACTAACATTTCTTTCCTTTCTCGGGCTGCTAACATAACAACACAGTGTAATTTTCTACATAGGTCAGCAAAGTATTAGCAAAATTATCTCTTCTACGAAACAACCTTAGAAGGATTCTCATCATAGGTGGGAGTTCCCAGATCCATCTCAGACTCGTGGTCCACGCTTGTACCGTCGCTGCTTCCTTCCCACGTGGGTGGGTCCCACTGAGTTTGCCTGAAGAAGAAATAACAAGAAGATCATAACACACACACACACACACACACACACACACACAGGGACTTTCTAAAGACATAAGCGTGCACCACACACCTTGTGACGATATGGTAGTAGTAGATTTTGCCTTCTGGGTCCCGGGCCACTTTCCAGTTGGGAGGTAGGATGATGGTTTTGGGTTTAGGGGGAGACGGAGGAGGGAGGTCGATCACATTGTTGGGTACAATCATTTCCTGATGAGAAGAGGAGCATTAAGAAGTTTCAGCGCAAGATGTGTGCAACTTCACAATCATATTAGACACTTTAAGCAACAAGTCAACACCTGGGACCAAACTCTGCAGGATGGTTGGAGTTATTTATAAGATTTGATGTTTTTAGGACAAAAAGGACATGCAGACAGATACCCTTCACTTGTAGAGGGGCTTTTTTTGGTGAGCACTTTGATAACAGTTACTGTTTTAAATGTGCTATATAAATAAATGTGACTTGACTTGACTTGACAGCAACTTGTCAAACCCTGACAGTGCTCAGCAAGTATTTGTTTTATTTTTGGTTCCTCGTGCAGCTCTTCATTTGTTATTTTATTGTCTTTAATCTGTGGTGGGTAACAACAATAGCAGATCTAAATAAGAACTTTTCTTTGATTAAATGTGTGAAAGAACAACAAATACAGAAGAGATCTGGGACCCACTGGTCACCCTGTAGTTACATTTCCTTTTAAAACTGTAGAAAGTCCTGAAAATGCATCATATTCAGATCAATACTGCACCCTTGTGACCAAACAGACACACAGCTGCCAAGAACTAAGAGATGTTTAAAGTGGAGGCTCTAACTGCCTAAACACAGTTTAAAACAATAACTTGTTTGTCCTGTTCACACACAACACATGTAACATTATTGAATGGCTTCATCATTGATCATTTAAATACTCCAACACTGATCAGTTTTACAGTAAAGTTTCTCACAACGTCATTCAGACGAGAAAAAAAAAGAGCTGGAATGGATGAGTAATATTTGTTATTAACACAAGACTGGACATTGCATTAAATAATGTAGCTTTAATGGTATTAAACAGCGACATTTTTCTATATTCAATAGCATGATGTTTTGAATGCCTTTAAACAGCTCACATTAAGACAAAATAACACTTCAGCTGTTCCTCCTCCTTTGTTTCTATATCCAAAAAACACAGCGCAGACAATTTGTGCATGACAACTAAAAGTTCACTTGCTGTCATGTGGATAGTAACCAGTGCAGATGTAATGGAGAATTTTGAATTGTCCCATCACAACACACACAGTTTCAGTAGGGATGCACGATATTGGATTTTTGGCCGATATCCGATATGTTAAAACTTATTTGGCCGATAACCGATACCGATACTTTTTAATATACTTTCCTTTGTCAGAACATAACCCTCTTATTTAGGCTTATTTGCTACAAAAATTGTGCAACAGCTGTAAGAGCTGGTGACATATATTCAGTAACAGCCATATGATATACATAGCACTTTAACTTATATCAAATGAAAAGTGTTAAATGTTATTTATTAGTATTAGTCACCTGCGATGCTGTCTCACTTATGGAGGCTTGTTCCAGGTTCCTAGCTGCAGTGTGGGATTCTCTGCACTCTTGTGCATGAAGGACAGCCTTTTGTAAAGTTTTTGTCTATCCATTGTGCCATAAGACTAATCATGCTAACGGGGCTAACATGACGTCCAAATGTCTGTGGTAAAACTCACCCAACAAGCCGTGCTATCGGCTATTAGCTTCTTAATGACGTCGGAAATGACGGCTTGTAACTCGGGTAACGTTACGTTGGAAAAATATCTCAGACTGCGGACGACGTAGCGAAGCTCAACGTAGTCCATAAATCTTCGGAATCCAACATCCTCACCAACGAAAAATAAAACTTCCACACCGCTGACATTTTGAGTTTTCCTCTCTGCCATGAGATCGGGTAGGCGCATGTGACGTCATCACGTTGTGCTGCCGCTGCAGGCACAATCTGCGCCTTTTATACCAGTGAGTTATTTTAATGGAATGGCCGATGTCCGATATTGAACTTTAACGCTAATATTGGCAGGCCGATAATATCATGTATCTCAAAGTTTCAGACAAAAAAATATAGAAAAATTTAAGCCATCTTCTTTCAAAGCAAATATTTAACACACAGTTAGGATTCTGTCCTTTAGTTTTTCTCTATGACATAAACGTGTTTCTCTTGACTGAATACCCAACTGGACCCTCAGACAGAGGCTGGTCCATCCCAAGGACAGAACCCCCCAAGCCAAACTGAGCAGTGTGGTGTCTGCAGGTCAGTGCAGTGAGGAATGTTCAGACCTCTATATTGGAGAAACTAAACATCTCCACAGATGCATGGCTCAACACCAGCAGCTCTTCAGGATAAGACATAAGGGACACTCTTTTGAAGACCAAAATGTTCATATTTTAGACAAAGACAGATGTTTTGAGAGGAGTTAAGAAAGATATTTACATCAAATGAAGAAAAACAACTTTAAACAGAGGAGGTCGTCTCAGATTTCAACATTGAAAACTTACAAAACAGCTTTAGGCCTGAATCCCAGTCAGCTCCACTCCACACCTTCATGCAGGTGACCAAAACAACTCTCATGAGTCAGACAGACAAAGAGTGTGCAAGGTGAGCCGTTCCTGTCTAACCTGCAGGTGACACTAAGTACACAACCAGGCCTCTGTAGTTCTATAAAGCTTGGACCTCCACACACCCCAGACATTTTTGAATTGATAAAGCCTCCTGGATGGGAGGTCCAGTTGCTAAGTTTTTTTTAACCTTTTTGTATTGATTATGACCTGGACGACTGAGAATCTTCATCTGCAACAGATTAAGTTAGTTACCTGCTGAACAGTTTGGGATGTGACAATAGTGGTGACTGTGCCTCCCTGCTGCACCACCACTCCCTGTTGATGACCAGGATACACCGGCTGCCCGTGCAGGTAGCTGGCAGTGGGCTCTGCGTAGGCCTTCAAACACAGAGTACAACGTGATCAGATAAATCCTATCAACCTTCAGAAAAACACGCTAAAAACAGCGAAAGTACACAAGCAACAGAATTCAGTGACTGTTTTACTTCGATAACATCACTCAAGTCCCCAGGAAAATATTTAATCGTTTTGGTCTATAGAGCTATACGATTATAGGAAAATGTGACTGGGATTAGGCCTGTCGTGATAACAATTTTTGCTGGGCGATTAATTGTCTCAGAAATTATTGCGATAAATGAAAATGTTGTTTGAAATTGGACACTAATTATTTAGTAATTATTGTCAAATTTAAGAAGAAATGTTGGTCAATTTTTGTGTATAGTAACATTTTTTTGACCTCTGGATGGCAGTCTTAGACTGTTGGAACCGAAGGATGGATAGTGAGGGAGCGAGCAAAGAAGAAAGAAGGGAGAGAGGCCCCTTGACGTGACATGGACCGTCTCTCTTTCCTTTATTTCGTTTCTCAAAATGGTGGACGCTCAGTGTGCTTTGAGCTCTTTAGCCTAGCATCTGTCACACAAAGCTTTTAATCAAAACATCAGTAAACAACTTCTCAGCTTCTTTTTGCAGAGATAAACAGCTTTTTAGATGAAGGCACGGGTTTCAACCATGAATTTTGGCTTCGACAAAACGGAGGTTTCTTCCCAGAGGTCGGTCTGTTAGCTTAGCTCGTAGTTTAGCTTCTTAGCTTAGCTGCTTTTAACCATCCAAAAACGTGATTTGGGATCGTTAAAACAGATTTTAAAGAGAAAAATGAAAGGGAGGGGTCAGTGAAGCGCACCTGAGCTGAGTCCAGCAGAAAGAGACATCAAGAAACGATAAAGCCGAGAAATGAAAACAAGGTTGATAATTTTCATTTGTCATGCGAATAATTTATTTATTATTTATCGAGACAGGCCTAACTACGATAAACACACACTGACATTTCATTGACAATAAAATGATCTTGTTTTACCTTATATTAACTAGATACTGAGGTAAAACATTATAAAATGATTAAGAAAAAATAATCCATTTGATTGAGTTTTCCAAAGCCAATGTAAATATTTTCAGACATGTATTCTAGCAAATTATCGCCCAATTGTAAATTTGGGGATCAAACGAATTTATAATATTGACAAAAACAAAGTGAAAAAGTCTACCTGTATGACAGGAGTATTGGTCTGGGGATAGGCAGCAGGGATGCTGTAGATGGTCTGACACGGCTGGCCCTGGTAATAGATGGCTGTCTGTGTCTGAGCTTGTCCTGGAGCTGAGGCGTACTGCTGTGCTGGCTGAGTCTGCACCGTCACTGCCTGCTGGGTGGTGGGATCCCAGAGAGTGGTGTAGCTCTGCTGGCCCTGTACCTGAGGGGCTGATTGTGCTGGAACAGAGAGGACAGATACTCCTGCCTCCTGGGGAACTACGGCTGGCTGGACAAACTGCTGGGGGTTGCCAGTGGTGAGGTTTGTGGTGGTGATGTGCTGAGAGAGATTAGAGACTGGAGTAATCTGGGACGTGGACGATGGAGACGGGAGGCTCAGGTCTGAGACGAGAAGCTGAGGAGAAGTCTGTTCATAGCTGAGGGTGGAATCAACAGGAGGGGTGGGAAGAAGGACTTTGCCTGCATTGGGGTTAGTGGGATCCACAAAAGTCTGTATGGGGTAACCAGGAGGGTAGGTGATGAAGCCGGGGCTGGAGGCGTAAAGAGCAGGATCATAAGCCATAGTTTGAAGCTGCTGCTGTTGTTGCTGTTGAAGCTGCTGTTGCTTCTGCGCTTCCTGCTGAGCAACTTCCTGTTCAAACAGCTTCCTACGCTCCTCTGTGGACAGCTTGTTACGCTCCTTGCCCCCAGCTCCTCTCTGCATCTTGCCGTTTGATGGATCAAACCTCAAAAACAAATATAAAATGACAGCTGAGTGGCAAACTTCTATAGTTAGTGAAACTGCCTTCTCTGTAAAAAATGCAGCATGAATGTGTGCTGAATGACTGCTGACATTTGCTGACAGCTAAAAGAAGCAGAATATTAGCTAAAATATAAACGGAGCTAAACACTAGTTCAAAAGTAGCACAACACTAAATAAAAGCCAAAAATAGTGATATGGTAGCTAGAAGTTAAATGTAGCAAAAGGCTAGCTAAAACCTATAGAAAAACAAAGTATGTGAAATCACATTTGAAAGAGAACAGACAAGGTTTTAATGTATTTCTATGAGGACAATATTTGTAAACAGTTAAATATTTTGAGAAGGATACAAGTTTCATAAATAAAGTCACAGCACTCATCTCCTGAATGAGCTGAACATTTTGATATATGAATGGCTAAAAAGCACAAAGTATGCAGAATTACTTAAATTGTAAAAAAAAAAAAAAAAAAAAACTGAATTAAAAAAATAGGAAAACAGTCTGAATGCAGAACAGCATTTACACATTAAGCTTTGCAGGACATCAAAACTCGAGCATTCCTACCTTTCATCAGAGCGCCGGCTGCTTCTCTCGTAGGATATGGGTGGCGGAGACGGGGAGCGTCTTCTCCGTCGTTCAGAGCTGCGAGGAGTTTTTTCCGAGGCTCGATCGCGGTCTCGCTCCCTGTCCCAGTCTCGATCGTAATCTCGGTCTCTGTCACGCTCTCGCTCCTTCTCTCGCTCTCTTTCGCGTTCCCGGCTGCCAGAGGTGTTGCGTGGCGTCAGAGCTGTGTCTCGATCACGGCTGCGATCTGCCAAGACATTTCACCGGTTAAATACAAAATGAACGAAACCTCAGACGTAAATAAAAAGCGTCTAAAAGACCTTACCTCTCGCTTCCTTTTCTACTTGGACCTTTTTAGGTATCCTGTACACCTCCTGTAAAGACAAGTTCAACTTTGATTTCAAAACAGAGAAACATTCAAACTGGTCACTAACAAATATGATACTTTGGTTTATAAATGCACACCATATACACATTTGGCCATGAAAGGCGACTGAGCTAACCTTCAGATCCTTCCAGCTTTCCAAAAGCCTGGCAGCCATCCCACCTATGTCCAAAACACTGAGCTGGGGCTCCTGACTCCTCTCACTTTCCACATCCGAGACACCTTCCTCCTCTTCCTGAGAGGGAGTTCCCATCACTGACGGCTCGACCTGCATCGCCGTGACCTCTGAGGAGATGGTGACCTCTGAGGAGATGGTGACCTCTGGTGCCTCTGAGCTCAGGGGAGCATAGGTGGTAGATTCCCCGAGTTGTGCTTCACTGCTCGGAGGATGTGTCTCTGCCTCTTGTGTCTCTTCGTGTGTTTCTGTAGTCTCTGAAGGCTGCTCATTTGGAACATCAGCACCACTTGTTTGACTGGACGGACTTTCTGAATCGTTGTTTTGATTAGTGGATGAGCCTTCTTCCAAACTATTTTCTTCTGGTACCGTTTGGCTTTGCTGATTCTCAACACTCGCCTGCTCTTCACAAGTTACTTTTGACCCCTCAACTTCATCTGTTGGACCCTCTGCTGTGACCTCTTTCATTTCCGTTTCCTTGTTTTCAACATTAAAGTCATTTTTGTCCTCAACGTCCACATTTTCAAGGTGCTGTTGACTGATTGAACCTGTCTCCATTGTTTCCTGTTCATCTGGAATGATCTCTTTCACAGAGTCCTCCTCCGACTCCTTCACTGCATTAGCAGCTTCATCTAAATGTTCTTCTTTCAATGGCTTTCCATCAGAAGAATCGGTGTGCGACTTTTCATCCTCTTCCTCCTCCTCATCATTGTCCTCCTCTTCCTCCTTTCCAGCAGATGCCTTGCTTGCATCAGAAAGAGCGCTGTCCAGGCTGTTTTCGCTAATGATTTTAAGACGGCGATACACAGCAGGTTTGGACGCATCACCTTCCATTTCCGGTGCCAGTTTGGTGGAGGAACCATCAGGAGTGTTGAGCGGGGTTTGGGCTCGAGACGTGTTCTCGCTGGAGTAGCCATCCATCTCGGTCTGCTGGGGGAGAGTTTTCGTCTGAGCCCACCGCTGAATCAGAGTCAGGACTTTGCTCTCCTCCAGCATGTTCTTTGTGGAGATGGGGAGCACAGCTAGAGTCTTCATAATCTGCAAAAAGAATTGTGAACTTATTATAAGGAACTGTCAATGTGCCATACAAGCTTCATGATTTAATAATTATACTATATTTTCCGCTGTACATGTCGCACTGCCCTATAAGTCACATCAGTCCAAATAAGTTAAATAAGTGGAAAAATCCATGAATATTTCGCTTCACTGTATACGTCGCAACTATTATGCGTCACCGCTGACACGTTGCGTTTGTTACGTGTCACCGCTGACTATCCGGAAATGTGGACCGGTGTTGTGCCAAAAATCGAGTGGCTGCCAAATGGCGGCCATGGGAGCGTGCATGGGAGGACTTTAACAAGAATTTAACAAGATTAACACTTAAAACAATTATTTGTTTGCTTGAAATTATAGCAAATGTGTGTCTCAGTTGAACTTGTCCTTAATAAATGCACTTTGATGGTCAAATCAGATTTATTTCCTAAGTATTCGCTGCCTCGGTGCTCCAAGACGGAGGGAGGAAATCGGGAAGGAGGAACGCTGCGCATTTCTTCAAAAGTTAACAAGACATATAACAAGTCAGAATGAATGAAAACGGTCATATCGCAGCCAAACTTAGTTTATAAATATGGGAAAAATACATAAATATGTCGCTTCGGAGTGTAAGTCGCAGGGCATGCAAAGAACTGTGACTTATAGGCCGAAAAATTTGGTAATTTACTTTTCAACGAATCTCACCTCTATCTGGAGTTTGATGTTGTTGGCACTGTTGCCTTTAGCTTCAGAAAGCTCCACCATGAAGATCCATAACAAAGAGAGCCCGTGATGGTCTAAGAACTGCTTCAAGCATGATGGATTCTGCGTGTCCTGTGGAACAAAAGAACACGTGACACGAGGAAAGGAGGACAGCAACAAACACGAACAGTGCAAGTCCTCTGGTCACACCTGAATGAGCTTGAGACAGAGGAGTTTCTGCTCCATGGTTTCCACGCGGACCATTAGCCTGCAGAGAGACACCACCTGTTTCTCGTCATACAGGCCTTCTCCATTCTCCAGTAACGCCTCCAGCTCCTCATCCACCTGTGAAAGGACAACACTGAACATTACTATGAACTTCTTTCTCACAGTGAAGCTCATCGTTAAAACTTTGTGAAGATTTATGCGGATTCCTAGTGAGACTACTCCTCACTGCCCACATAAGGTAGATCAAGCTGACCGTGGTCAAAGCACTCTTTCGACTGCGATCTTTCTTCATCTTCCCCCCAGCTGCTCGAACACTGACTCTGTTCTCCCCACCAAGGAAGCCTCTGCAGCTGGGCGCTCCACAGAAGCATTTCTGTGCTTCTTTCCTGAAGGAAAAGACAAAAAAATTTGACACCGCAACAGCTGAACCATCAATTTAAAAACTGATAATTGACCATTTTCAGAGATTATACACCCACTGAAGTTTTGATTGTGTACACAGATGCAACAAAACAGACAAGCAGCTAAAGAGAAACAGTACCCATATCTCTGAAACTGGTAGTCAAAGGTCAGTTCAGTTCCTGCACCGACAGTCTTGGTGGTGAAGAACCCAACTCGCAGCTGGCCATTAACAGTCCACTGAAACAGAATTAAAAGATGCCATCAGGTGAGTGAGCTTTCGGGAAGGAAAAAAAAAACACTGACGAAGTTTATTTTGTACGTTTACCTTTTGGGTCTCACAGTTGGGCTCACAGCTGTGGTTCATGAACCGAGAACAGTTTCCTTTCAGCGTTGCGTCAATAATCTACAGAAGCACATCACAATAGTTGTAGTGTTCTCGTCAACAGGATTATCTAAATATTGTAAATTATTGGTCATTAGCTTCAACACATTATTACAGACCTCATTATTCTTTAGAGCCATAAAATAGTAGTGGATATTCTTGTTGCGAGCGTATTCTTTAACCCTCGTTTTGAACTCCTTGTGGTCCAACACCTCCCCACAGTATTCCAGGACAAATGTGTTTCTATGTGTAAAAAAACAGGTAAAATTACATACAACAGTTGATTAAATCTGGTAACATATTACTTTAACTTTATTAATGCATTGCTTTTGGGCACATTACAAAGCCTTTAAGTTATATTATATAAATATGTTATAATTTCCAGAACAGATCAAATTCTTTCACCTCTGAATGGTTTGCAGTTTAAACAAACTAAACAACAAAAACCAACTATAAAAATGACACCAAACTGTAAATCTAAAAAAGGCTTACGCAGGCATTTCTTTAGCTGCGATCAGTCCCCATCCTTTGTCTTCGGTAAGGATAACCTCAAAATCTGCGTGCTGTTTCATTTGGAAGCGGCGGTTAGAGCAGTATGCTCCATTCATGCACCGTGATGAGCTAAAAAAAAAATTAAAACAGTTCAAGCATAATTATTTTACATGCAAAAATCTCATCTTACGATCAGTCCTTTCCAGATTTTATTAGAAAACTTCATTACAATCTGCAAAAGGGAATGCCTAAAGCTTCAAAAGACTGCAGAAAGTGTTGGGTAGTGGTGTAACGGTACATTCATTCAACCTTTATCTAGACAGGTTAATCCCACTGAGCCTCAGGGACTCATTTACAAGAAAAACCTGAACATGTGGGTGTATTGAACCGTTTTGGTACGTCATGCATACCGTTTCGGTTATTTTTTCACTCATTAAATTTTATTAACAAGAGATTATGCACCGTGGAACTAAAATTCCTAAGCGTGCTTCAGCATGGCGCTATTATCTTGCAGCACGCGTAGCGTTAGCAACCTAGCAGGCTACGAACAAGCCATCTCGTTGCGGTCTCCTGTTAGGGAACATTATGGCTTTCTTGTTAAAAGACAAGTGAACAAATCCAAAGCTGTGAGTTGATGTTGTTTCACGGAGATTGGATCCGCAGCAGACAACACGTCTAACTTGTTAACGCGCTTGAAACGACATCATCTGAATGTGAACGTATGTTGCAAAGACCGATAACAGCAGCATTTAAACAACCTTTATCAGGTAATTCAGATCGGTCCAAAGCAATAACACAAGCTGTAGGAGTTTTTAAAGCTCTGGATCCATGTCTGAATGTTGTTGATGCGCCAGCTTTAAAGCATATGATTAAAGTTCTTGAGCCCCGCTGCCTACAACATCCCATCACGTCAACACTTCAGCCAAAAAGTTGTAGCAGCACTTTATGAAAAAGCTAAAACTGATATTGTCAACAAGTCCAACCCCAGATTTAAAGCCCTGCCACATCGATGATGAGCGACAGAAAATATTCAACCACCTCATATGATGACCGTGCAAGAAGAGGCATAGTTATTATTATAGTGATCTAATTAATTTAATATTATCATCTTATTAACTCATTTTTTTACGTCTTTCTGTTTGCGGTCTGAGGATGTCACCGAGAGCTGAAAGCTTAGTCTTCTTCCTCTTCAGGGAAATTTTTTATTTATTTTTATACAAACGTATTTTTTACTGAGCATATTTTCAAAATAAACATTTTGTAAGTCTTTATTTTGGCCTTTTTAGTACAGAAAATTAACCGAACTAAAACTGAACCGAACCGATATGTGATTTTAGTGTACCGTTACACCCCTAGTGATGAAGTCAGAGAATTCTGTCTCCTTGGAAGCAAAAACAAACAAAAAAAAAAGTGGAAAAGTTTTGCTACACAATGTACATACATAGCAATTTTTCCTAAGGAGCCCCAAGTTTACAAAATGTTACCAGACTTTTAAAAGACTTCCCAAAAGTTATTTTAAATAATAAAGACTCACCATTCAATCATGAGGAGTCGATTCAAACAGTCTTCCCCACAGGCCATCACTCCTTTAGCGCGGTCTTCTCGTGAAAGAACTGGGCACTCACATTGCATCCTCTTGATGTCTCGATGAGATTTGCTTTTCTTCCTGTGAATGTTTAAATGAAAACTTTCTGAAGAACAGCCTCAACATACATATACATATATACATACACACATTTTTTTATAAGGTTATACAATAAATCATGTTTTGTTTGTACATCTGGCTGAATGTGACTTTACCTCTCAGTCAAGTAGAGGTTCTCCTCAATCAAGTCAAAGTAAGGGGGCATCTTTTTGGTCTTAGAAAACTCTTTCCATCTGCTGGCATCTTGAAACTCCTGCAGAGTGAGCAAAGGTCTGCGCACATCAGTTTTTCCTGAAACGTCCTTAGACACAGAAGCATCTCCCTGACGCTCCTTTTTGCTTGAAGGTCCAGCTTCTGCCTCATTGTCAGAGTCCGACTCAATTTCTGGACGCCGTTTCTTGGGAGGACCTCTGCCTCTGTGGGGTCTTGAACTGCTCTCTCGAGGGGGATCAGGTACAGCAGGGCCTCTACTGTTGCTGCTTATTTCGTGACCTTGCACAAAGCTCGATGACCCTGGAGTGTTAAGTGTGCTGCATTCAACATTCGATTTACTAAGACTTGCTGATGATTTGTTCTCACTGTAGTCATCATGGTCATTAGTGAGGGAATCAGGATGGATTTCACTAAAAGGCTCTTGATCATGTGGGTGGAGGTAGAGTATTGTGTTGCTTTGCGTGTTTGGGGATTGGTATGTAGAGGAAGCGATGCGCAGTCTGGGCTCTTGTTCTTTACAAAGGGCTCCTGTTAGGTTGGTGTTTAATTGTAGCCCGTGGCTGCTGTCAGGCTGCTGGCATGTGCTGGTGGGTTGCTCTGGTTGTGAAAAATCCCAGCTCAGACTGAAACCAATCTCATCACTGATATTGGACTTTGAGAAATCTTCCTGCTGGTAATGCAAGTTTATCTGGTTACCTTGGCTCCTCACATCGTGTTGTTTGAGGCTTTGTTCGCACTGTTTGGATGTATCGAGTGAGAGGGCAGAATGTGTTGCACTGGTAAGAGGCTGGGTGCCGACAGAGCTGGAACCCTCCGAGTGACTTGTGCTATCAATCATATTGCTCTGGGACTGACACAACACACTGCTGTTGAGCGTGTCACTTGAACTAGTCCATGTTGTGGGTTGTGCTTGCTGTGAGATAACTTGGTTTGGGATTTGACCTAAATGCACATCGCCTGTTACGTGAGCTTCAGGCAGGTGGGGAGCAATTTCAGGAGTGTGTGGAGAACTGCCTCTGTCAGCTTCTTTTGCCAGGGAAGAATGCTTTGGTACCACTACTACAGAGTGAAACTGTTTTATAGCCTTGTCACAATCCGAATCATACGCCGAGTTGTCGCTGTCGCTGGCATCACTGGGTATTGCCAACAGATCCTGGGTGACTGGTGGCATTTGGCTCAATTTTCTCCTGCATGCGTTCTCCCTGGATTTGTTGTCATCAGCATCCCTGCTCTGGTTTTGTGCGTCTGCAGCTGAGTCAATTTGAGATGATGTGTCCTTGAGGTGCAGAGGCTCATCTGTGTTTGGTTGTGGAGAAGCAGTAAGTTTTAAGAGGTCAGTGCTGATGCTTGCTTGTGAAGTTTCACTTTGGTCGTCGTTCTTACAGATCACAGGTGAGCTGTCCGAGCAGACTTCCTGCTTGGACTGCTCAGTCTTGTTAATTGGTGTGGAATGTGTGAAATCTCCTGGCTGCATGTTGTCATTACTTTTAGCCTCTTGTTGGCAGCTGTCATTAGAAATGTTTGTCTTTTTAACAGATATCACTTGTTTCACTGTAGGCTTACTTTCTGCACAAGCAGCTTTGTTTGGACTCTCACTCTCACACGCGTCTTGCCCAACGATGTCCCACCGAGACTTCCTGGAGGTAGAGCCAATCTTTTTAACATCACTTTCATTTTGCTGTCCTTTCGTTGGCTCGTTTTCAGTTTCGAGACACAAAGAATCTGATTTGGGTGACGTGCAAGTGTCTGATTGCTTTTCAACACACAAAACAGTTTCAGGCTCAGCGGTTTCTGGTTTAGTGGTTTGCTGGACATCAGGTGTGACACATATATCTAATGCATCCAGAGAAGATTCTGGCATATCTGGACAGTCTGGAGAATTCTTTTCCTCTTTGCAGGTTAAACTATCATCACTTTCACTTAAATTCGTGCTAGCTGCATTCAGGTTCACATGTGGTGGATTATTTGAGAAACAACCACCATTCACATTAAAATCTTCAAGAGTGACACTTGCACAGTTTAGGTTCTCAATTGAAGCTGTAGCTGAGGAATTATTTTCTTTTTCAAGTCCTGATTTTGTTTCTTGCTTGGCCTCGGATAAAGACTCTTGCAAACTCTCGTCAGCGGGAGTTACTGTCTCCTTATTATCCTGATCAGTGTCTTCACTGGCGCCTTGCTGTGAATCAGACTTTTCTCTTTCACTCTGAGAACTTGATTCTGTGCTGGTTGCACTCGTCAGTGCTTTGTCAGGACTGTGAAACATGTCCATTGATTGTCTATCGTGTTTTGGGGATTTCACCAAAGACTTAGAGGGGGTTCTCTCTGTTGAATCTGGCCTTCTGGTTTTCTCTTGAGAGTCTTTACATTTGTCCGAAGAACCCGTGGTTTTGTCAGACGGTTGTGACTTTGACTTATAATCTGCCTCAGAGTCACTGGAGTTGGTTTTTCGGTGCTTGTCGTGTGTTTGAGATACAGTATGCATGCTGGAAGAAGATGATTTGGTGTTGGTCTCAGACTTATGATGGCTGCTTGATTTGCGATAACTAGAGTCCAAATCTGGAGAGCGCTTGTGTTGGGAATCAGACTCTGATAAACGTTTTGATGTCCTTTCAGACTTCGAAGTTCTCTTTTCATACTCAGAGGAGTGCGGAGACTCTCCAGATTTAGAGGATTTCTCTGGTTTTGAGTAGGAAGAGGGTTGTGAGGCTTTAGTGGAGCTTGAGTAGTTGGATGACCTGCTGCTGGCACTTGCTCTCGTCCTCATCTTCCTGTGGTCATCTTCGGAGTCGGAACTATATCGAGTCCGGTCGGTGCGAGAACGAGAGCGTCTTCTCTCTCTACGTGGAGAACTCCTGTGTGAACGTCGATCAGATTCGTGGTAGTACGACCTTTCAGAACGAGATCCTCTGTCACATCTGGATCTCTCTGATCTGGAGTGAGATGAAGTTGTTCGAGACCCTCTGGATCTAGACCGTGACCTAGACTTGGACCTTCTGCGATCCCAGTCTGATCGAGATGAGCGTGAGGATGTGTTTCTAGAGTCACGCTCTGGTTTGGAGTAACTAGAAGAGTTTTCGTGATTCTCTGAACGCTTGGAGGAATTCTTTTCTTTACCTCCAGAGCGTGAATTTGAGGAAGAACTCTTCACATCTTTGCTTCTGCTGTCCGAGTTTGTTTTACTTTTTGAATCTGATTTACGGTTGGAAGACGCGTGGGCCTCGGTTTCTGAGCAAGGACGAGCAATATCCGACTGTGACCTGGTTTTCCTTTTGTAAACACTATTATCTTGATCAGTACTGCTGGAATTATCAGCGTCTTTTAAAGTTGAAACAGGAGATTTCTTTAGGCTGGGGTCTTCCGCTGTCTCAGAGGCCTGAGTGTGAACATTTTCCGAGGGACAGACGTTGGTGGCATCCTGAGGCTGTGGCGATGGGAATTCAACGTCGTTCTTAGCTGTTGACGTTGGTGAAACCAATTCAGAGGTGTGAAGCTCTTCTGGTGCAACAGGTGTTTGTTTCTCTTCAGACACAGACACACTAAGAATCTGCTTCTTAAAATGCATCTTGGCCAAGTTCGTTTTGAGTCGAGTTGAATAGAAAGTCTGAGAAATTGTCTCTGGAGTAGAAGTTGGTATTGATGTCCGCTTTTGCTCAGTTTTGCTCTTTATATTCTTTCCCCCTTTATCCAAGGTTGACTGCGACAAGGTGGAGGGAGGTTCAGCGACAGTTGTATCAGGATTGGCAGAAACGAAGAACGAATTCTGAAGAGGCTTTTTTGTCTGCGAGAAGGTGAAGGACACTTTCTGACGACCCTGATCTTCTAGATTGACCCTCATCTTGGTCCCTTTTGGTAAGAGATGGTTGGATAACATGACTCTCGGTGACAAACTTTTTATTAAGGCTGACTTAGACAGGCCCTCCACTTTTACCTACAACAGAAGACATACCCCCCCCCAAAAAAACATATTTACTATCGTTTAAAAATGTCACAATCAAAACTAAAGCTACTAAAATACTTTAAAAAATAAGATATTCAAAGCACTGACTTTATCAAAATAACTTACCGAAGCACCACTCCCTTCCTGTCTGCATTTATTTGAGAAAATCAATGAAGCACGAAAAGAGAAAAGGCAGAAATCAGTTTACAAAATCCATGTAACTATATTAACATGTTTGCCCAACTTAAAAATGGTTGAAAGTGACATATAACAGGATGAATGAGTGACGTGCAACATAACTAGAGTAGATTCCAGCCAAGAAGACCAACATAATGACTTATTTGAGCCTCGTGACTCTGTTGCACAGATGGTTAAAGGATGTCACTATAAAAAAAGTGAGGGTGTTTTTTTTGGTAGTTTTTTTTTTTACCTATAGATGTGACTAGATATGCACGACTTTCTTAAAACTCCTACACAAAACAATAGGACACTGGGTAACAACTTCCAAAAGCGGAGAGTGAGAGATAGATAGGACTCACCAACAGTCTATCTCCTGAAAAAAATAAATATTTGATTGTACTTGTTAAGTATAGTTTACAAAGGATAAATGACCAGGAAGGTATTGAATACTTCACCTACAAAACTGACTGGCGCCTAACTTTTAAACAGCACAAGATCAGAACAAAATATAATGTTAGTCATATGACGTTAAAGGTTTAAATAACATCTATGTGATAATATTGTCAGACGGCAGGGACATTTTTTTTTTACTAACTACACTGTTTAGATACATAAATGAGGTTGATGAAATTAATTGTTTGGGTGCAGGCTCTTTATTTATGATGTATTTAAATGCATTGACACTGTCGTGGATCTTTTACTATATCCCAGTCCTGGTCCCAGCAGTTCTTCCTTCGATTTTATCCTCAAATGGTGTCCCTATTGAGTTTTTCGATACCTACAAATATTTGGGTATCTTGGCTGATTTGCATCTCTCTTTTAAGCTCCATGTGGACAATTTGGTAAGGAAACTGAAAGTTAAACTGGGTTTCTTTTTTCAAAAATAGATCCTGTTAAACTCTGAATGCTAGAAAACGCCTAGTAACTGCGACTTTCCTTCCCTCCAATGACTATGGAGACATTATTTACATGAACGCCCCTACAAGCATCCTGCAGATGTTGGATGCTGTCTATCACAATGCGTTAAGATTCATTACTCGCTGTAAATACGGTACCCACCACTGCACCCTGTGTTAACTGGTTATCATCAACTTCATGCAGACTCTCTCACTGGTACATTTTCATCTTTAAATCACTTCTTGGTCTGCTGCCTTCATACATCTCCTCCTACGTGTCTCTGCGTGAGTGCAGCTACAGTGTGCGCTCTCAGGACATAATTCATTCACCTTTATTTAGACAGGTTAATCCCACTGAACCTCTGGGACTCATTTACAAGAATTATATGCAGTGTTCCCTCAGTGAGGACTGAACTTGGCAAAAGGGCCTTCTCCTACTCCGCTCCTGTTTCCTGGAATATCTTGCAAAAAGATCTGAAGCTCTCGACCTTGACCTCCAAGTGGCTTCAAACATCGGCCAAGTTCATGGCAAAAACCACTGCATACATGTTCCTGTTTTTTGTTTTCTACATCACTTTACAATCTAGTTGTTTTTGTTTAGTTTCTGGATACCATTTTCTTTCATTTGTTCTTCTCAATTTGTATGCTTTCTTTTATGATTGTCTATTGTTGTCTCTGTTGTCCACTGTTGTCATCGCTCTTAGTTAAAACCAGGTCTCTCTTGTAAATGAGTCCCTGAGGCTCAATGGGATTAACCCGTATAAATAAAAGTTGAATGAATATGTCCTGCTGATCTCAAGCAAGTCAGACAACTTTCAAACCAGTCAGATCACTTTCTAATGAAACCTTAAAAGGTACTGAATCAGAAAACAAGAATAGTACTACAACACACTCAATATAATACATTGAATTTTAGTAATCACATCATGGACTCAAGAAAAAATAATGGGTGAAACAGCCTAAAGCTGCTAGAGAAAAATAATGTCTGTGTTGGGTGTTGTGATCTGCTTTAAAAGATTTGTTTACTCACAGTCCTAGACACCTTTATCTTTTTATTTTTTGATAGCAGAAGTTTCTAGTACACATCAGTACCTTTTCAGTCTAAACCACTTTTAAGCTTGTTTTGTGAAAATTACTTGAATGTTTTTCAATTATGTGAAGCGCTACAAAAAACTAAAAAAGGTCATCACGCAGAGTGTAAACCTTTAGGTTGAGAATTGCTTTTAGTTTCTGTCAACACCGCAGACTTTAAACAAAACAATCCAAATATAATTGAGAGGCAGACCTAAACTTTTAACTAATTCGGCTAAACGTACACATTGCTTTGACCTTGTAGAACATGTAACCTTCTAATCTACAGCGCCCTAAATTTACAAGATCAGATGCAAACGAATGCATTGCATGTACAAATTTCTATTTTAAACGTTTAGTCACTTTGCTTGCATAAACTGTGTGCCTCTGTGGCCTGAAGCACACAGCCGGTTAAAAATAAGATTTTAACCGATTCTTTAATGCTTTATTTATTTTTGCAAAAAGTGAATGTTCAGTCTTACTTCACTGAAAAGCTCTTTTTTTTTAACTGAACATGACCGTATTTTCCACTATACACATCGCTCCACCCTATAAGTCGCATCACTCCATATTTGTCTAATAAAGTGGAAAAATCCATAAATACGTTGCTTCGCCATATACATTGCATCTATTATGCGTCACCGCTGACGTGTTGCACTTGTTAGACGTCACCGATGACCACCCGGAAATGTGGGCCGGTGTTGTGCCATAAATCGATGGGCTGCCAAATGGCGGCCGCGGGAGCGTGCACGGGAGGACTTTAACAAGAATTTAACAAGATTAACACTTAAAATGTGTGTCTCAGTCTAACATTTGCTTTATACATGCACTTTAATGGTCAAATCAGCTGTATTTCAAAAATAGTTTCGCTGCTGAGGTGCTCCCGGGAGTGTGCAGAGGGAGGAAAAAAGGAAGGAGGAACACTAATCGTTTAATCAAAATTTAACAAGAAAAAGCACCTAAACAATTATTTGTTTGCTCAAAATTATAGCAAAGGTGTGTCTCAGTCTAACAACTGCTTAATAAATGCACTTTAATGGTCAAATTAGCTGCATTTCGCCGGGGCGGTGCAGCTGGATTGACGGTCGGTCCAAGCAGCGAGCAGAACCAAGGTGGGGAGACTATGCCAAGCCAATTGTATCATTAAAAGCTGGTGAAGATTCTCAGTCATCCAGGACATGGTGAATTCAAAAAAGTAAAAAAATAAATAAATAAATAAAGTAAAGTATAATAAATAAAGCCCAGTTGTTTTTGTCTTGAACTTTTTTGAATTTGTCATTATAGCCAGGTTTATCTATTACATGATACAACGGCATGCCATACACCTACTACTACTCTGCTTTTATCAAATGGCTGAAATTGGCACTGCTCAATTTATTTTTCAGTCAGAATGAATGAAAATTGTTATATCTCAGCCAAAAATTGGTTTATAAATATGGAAAAAAAATCCACAAATATGTCGCTTTGGTCTGTAAGTTGCAGGGCGTGTAAATTATGCAAAAAAAGTGTGACTTATAAAGCGGAAAATACGGTAATTGAAACGACTTCCAAATGCAAAACTTAGAAATTCAAGTCCATCATTTGCCCTTTATAACCATTCACCGATGAAGAACATACAAACCTGAAGAAGCAAAAGAACAAATCACAGCCAAAACAACCTTTGAGTCAGTATATAACACTTCTTGACCAACTGAGGTTAAGTTAATATAAAATTAAAGCTCCAGGTTAAATATAAATATTCTAAATTTGAAGCTTATTTGTACTTTGAATTATATGTTTTGTATAACTCTTACTTGAAGGGTTTGGTAAACATAAAACATACAAACACCTGAATGACTGTTTAGCTGTGACAGTAACAAATAATAAAAACGCCATAAACATAAACGACTAAATAAGCTGCTTTTTGTTACACTTTGTGTTTTCTTGAAACAAGAGGTTTTTTTTCTAGCACAGGATTGTGAATGCTGAACAATAAATAGGTCATTTATTCCCGCAGGATTTTATTTTTCCTCTTTCTTTTTGACCTTTGAAATCAGACGTCTCTGCAGGGACTGTTGGGTTATAATAAAAGAGCGCTAACAAGAAGTTGCCGATCAAGTTATTACCAGTCTGGACTGGATCTACTGCTTTAACATCATCCTCTTTTATTACTTTCCATTTTACTTTTGTCTTTTCACAGCTACTTCTCTAAAAAGCTGTCTTTTATGTAGAAATTTTATCAAGGGGAAGAAAATGTTATTACTTGTCCTCTTTGGCTTTTTTTTTTATTTCTAGAGCCTAATGCATCAAACACTAATTGTAACAGAACATATCAATATACTCTATATAAACAGCTTCAGATAAGTACCCAAATACTGTGACGTGTCAAATGTGTATTTTGCAAATAAAAAAATTAGACTGTCCATTTATAGGACAGAGGTGTGCATAACAACTTGGTGCTACAGTGCTCACCTTTGGTCAGTGGAGAAAAAATGAAGTAACTCTTTGGCACTCTTCTTTTATTCAGCATGCTTTTTGATTCAGACTGGAATAACCATGTTTTATGTTTTGTATAAAACATGTTCCATGGCTCAAGGGTATTGGGCACGGCTTTGCAAACTACTTTCTTCTTGCAAAACAAGGATGTGTGCAGGACTTCAGAGATGCTGCAGAGATGTTCTTTATATGCCCACAGGGTGATGATTCTCTGACCAATCAGCAGGCTGCGGTGATTTCACGTCACTGTTCAGTATCAAATCAGCTCTTTTGGATTCTCAGCCAAGGTATTACTAAAGCAAGTACCTGATACAGGGTGCTACCTACAATGGAAAACATAGAAGCTAAGTAAAGGTGCGGAGAGCCAGGCTATGTAATGGAAAAAGGCCATAAAAAATGAAAAAGGTCTTAGATTTGGTAAAGACTGAAAAGAAAACAGTACATTGTGCCAGGAAATGGTGCACATATTATAGCTAGAGGTATAGTATGGACACCATGTTTATATTGGTGCTGTCTAATACCTGATCTCTGACTTCAGCAGAGCGTCCATTGAGAAACTCCTAGGATTAGTAGGCCTGAAGCGGCTGCTGACCAAGGATAATCCAAATCAGAGAAATGAGCCCTCCAAAGTGATGCCACACCTGACAAAAAGAAAAATAGGTTTGCAATGAACCTTGTTTTTTACCCATTTACCATTCACTTAAAGGGATAGTTCAGATTTTTTTTAAGTTGGTTTCTGCACCGATTTTAGTAGTAGACGGCAATCAGAGCAACATTAGTTTGGAGAACCAAGGAGAAGTTTTCAAGGGTGGGTGAAGCTAACATATCTAAAGGAGGGTTTCATTAAATGTCCAACTTCAACAAACAACTCAATTTAAACATCTGATAGAAAAGTGTAAGGGTTTTAATAGAGCATTCACCTGAAACCTTTGGAGATTGTTTCTGATGACAGAAATTTGATCTTGAAAAAGGTCCTCTTCTGAGTAGTGTATGATCCAAACCCACTAAGAACATCTCCATAATGTTTAGAGGACTGCTCATATGCATATACTCTAGAAAATCTGAATTACTTCCTTAAAGCTACTCTCAAGAAGACTGTGCTTTAACATTTGTTAACATTTTAACAACAGTCACTAAAATGTATCAGTTTATATCACATTGCAAATGTGATATAAACTTTAAAGAAGTACTTAAAAGCAAAGCAGAAAAGTTGACATTATATAGTTTCATTTGTGTGTGTGTGTGTGGGGGGGGGGGGGGGGGGAGTATACTTTCCTTTAATGCCATTGTTATTGTACAGCGGTATTTTGTTTCTCTTTAGTGTTCCTGTCTTTTACGAGTCTTTTAAGCCGTCTATGAAACCAGTTCTTTGGGTATTTTGTGGGTCAGCTCTAAAGCTGCAATTTCAGAATTGTATTCGGTGATGCCTCAGTTTTTACCCCGACTATGTCTTCAAACCCTGTACTTCTAAACACATCAGGCAGCCTGCGATTGAGAACTACTGTGGCTCTTCTAATAGCTTTGAAGTTGTCATAAGCCCTAACAGGTTGTTTGAGACTGCTCCATATAGTTTGTAATTATGTCGACCATTTGGAACAACTTTTGCTCCTGCATGACTGTCATTAGCTATTTAACTTTTTGTTGAACTGAATCAGAAGTTGTTGTTTTTTTGGCTTAATTTATTCACAAAGGCTGATTTATTAGCCGTCACTGATTAATATGATGATTTTATGCCAGGCATATTTTTTCTTTAAATCAAGACAACTTAAAATGAATACACTAAATGTTCAGACCTGTAAGGTTTTGGCTTGAAAATAAGTTTATTTGTATCTGTATATTTTGTTGCATGCTTTGAATAAATTCTAGTTTATGTTAGTGCTCGCAATAAACGTGTAAATTATAGCCGAACCGAACCCATGAGAATCGTGCTGCTGCTGTTCGGTGTATTGTTTTGCACGATTAGTGACTAGCGTGCATCTTAGATCTTTTAGCGTACCGTTAGCGTATATCTTAGTTTATATCTTAGATCCTTATTTACTGTTTCTTTTTAGACTTTATATTTTTGCTATTGTTAGATGTAACTGGGACTCTGCATACACAATTTCATTCCACCTCATGTTCCACATGTGATGTGAATGACATTTAAGAACTTTGAATCCTTGAATGTGCTCAAAAATAAATTTGGAGTACATATTTAACTATGATGGTAGTGTTTAAACAGTCCACACACACCATGTCCAAGAGTTTGTGTGAAAAACATTCAGCTGTTAAAATAGTAAGAAAATACCCTGGCACGTCTTCCTAGAAAAAATTCAGTTAACTGTTGTGTCCATGAGATAATATGTATGCATGGTTATCAGCTTTTAAATAAGGGTTTATCTGTTTCCAGTGTGGTGGGATGTTAACACTTCAAATATTCTGAGTGGACAGTAACTATCCAGGAGGTTACGTTCAAAAGAAATGTAAATGAAAATGTTTCATTCATGAAAACAGAATGGAAATATGGATGCAAGGCAAGAAAAGAAGACGGATCTAAACACGAGAAACGTCAAGAGGAAGCTTACTTACAGAGGAATAACAAGCTTTGTGCAAAATGGCTTTTTACATGAATGACCACCTCAACAGAGATCGTTTTAACAAAAACGTGTGTGTGTGTGTGTGTGTGTGTGTGTGTGTGTGTGTGTGTGTGTGT